ATCGAGCACACCGCATCGGTCAGCGACGTGTGGTTTCCGTCTTCCGCCTTCTCACTGCAGGCGGCATCGAGGAGCGAATTATGAGTCTGCAGACATTCAAGCGTCATATAGCACGCACCCTCATTTCCCAACCCGACAATCAGGCGCTGGGAGAGATGGATACCAGTCAACTGATTGATAACATGGCGGCAGCAGCGGCAGAAGGTGCATCGGTGCTGAGGGAAAGGGACTGAGCTGGGGCGATGCGGAAGTAGAAGAGTATGCTGCAGAGTACGATATGCGCGAGTTCTTAGCCCGACTGCCTCGAGACGACTGTTAAATGAATGGTAGAGCGTTTGAATAGATGAGTAGTGCATTTCTTCCTTCCTGTTGATGTCGTTGTTGCTACACATAAACCGCCACCCTCCTTTTCCTTCCCTCCTGTTTTCGTGCAAATGTGAAGCAGATTCACCAAACCTCGTGGTACGCAAGACGCCTTGGTGTGGATTTGTGGGCCACCCAATTTGTGGAGTGGTGGAAAGGGCTGGGATCATGGCACCAAATGACATTACACATGTACCAGTTCGATTAAGTTCAAATCGCGTATTCACGCGTCCATGAAGCAGCACGTTGTAACAGTTTCGTATCAACAAATACTTCAAGTTCATTTCTAATGCCATCTGGTCGTAAATGCATGAGGCTTTGAGCTAGGCCAAACGTTCCGACGTGACTAAACTTTCTAATCCTCCCTATACATTTTGAAAGTTACATAACAACCCTCAATGTAACCCTGTTCGTCAGGCCTACGTACCCAACAAAGCTTTGGATAATCAGCGTTAGAAGTCTATACACGTAAGCTACATTGACTCCGTGACTTTATACGTTTTGATCCGGCAGAGAGGCGCAACCACATCACATCTCAGCCAGAGGTCTCCATCCTGATGTCATCCCTCTCAGTACTTTAAGCGAATTCCGTGCCATATGCGAAAGCAAGCTGAGTTGAAACAGATGTGTGATTTAATGCATAATTACCCTCAAAAAGCTTGATCCGTTAAATTCGAATGCAATATGTTGGCCAATTCTGATTTAGGGACGTTACGACATGAAAATGCGCTCCTTCCAACCAGCCCCTAGCTTTATGAACTTAACTACCTTTCAAAGATAAAGGCTGAAGATTTTACGCTACACAAGGTATTCATTGGAAAAATACAGCACAAGAGGAAAGAGCACTTGAGACTAGCTTCCCAAGCACCCCTCATTATATTTGAAGGATTTGCGGTGGTAAAAAAATTCCAAATCTTATTGAACGATTTCCTTTATAAAATTATATAAGTAACCGCATGAGGAAAGCATTTTCATCCATCAGTTTACAAGCTATAAGTCTTAAATTTAAGCCGAAAAAGACGTAGCGACCCAATATGACACAGTAGTGGATAGAATGAAAAAGTTCAATTGAACCATTAAATATGAGACATACTAGAACACGAGGCGTATATTGCTAACGAGTTTTGTTCCCGAAACTGGGTAAAATAAACGCAATCCTTCGGATAAGGAAATCAAAAAGATAGCAGATAGCCGAAAGATCCTACTAAGCACCCACTTTAACATCACTAAAAAAAGAAAAAAAACGCGATTCAAGAAGCAAAAAGGTCATTTGTTTCGATAGCGTACAAGAGGAAGGAGAAAGACTAATTGCTTACCAGGAAAGACAAATCGAATACGTTAAGGGCATGATGACACAACACAATCTAGTGAGATACAAAAAATATAGCAAGAATGGATCTATTCCAGGATCGTAGAGCATCCAAAGGAGATCTGAGACGAAGCATTATCTGAGTGCCAAATGTGACTGCCTGGAAGATCCATTGACATCGTCACCTCTCAAAGCTGGCAAAGCTAGTTTAAAGTCATGAATTCGTACTTTTTTTCCCACTTTCTTGAGCTCGAACGTCGATTTCTTTATTCCTAATCTTGCCGGATT